ATATTCGTAAGAGGTGAGTGGCTGAAATCACAGGGCATTTGAGCTAGAATAGAAACATTTTTTGACGTAAATACGTCTATACGGAAGGGTCTTTCTGCAAAACAGCGTTAGTTACGAAGATGTGTAAGATCCAGCGCCGAGTCACCTTTAAACGTTCATTCCTCAGTAATGCTAAGAGTAAGGGTAATGTAACCTTAAAGACATTTAAGAATCTGTAATATATTGGCATGAGATTTTAACATTGATTTAAAGAAGGAGGAAAATCAAAGCTTGGTCACATTTTTGGAGGAAACCTTTGGCTTAATGTTGGATGTCAAATCATCAATGTAGTACTACTAGATCAAAATCTTGTATAGATATGGTGTTTGCACGAAATGTGAATACTCTAATGTGCACAAATTTTATAACATATTTCAGCTACCACAGACCCATCTTAAGCCCAACTAATTCAAGTTAAATAAGCAATGTCTTAATCAGACTTTACTCAATTTTAAAGCATGTATAAAGGACATATTTAGAATAAAGCTAATATATTACCTTATTTTCATTGTATTTATTGCTTACATATAATTTAAATACAGAGACGTATTTACGACAGATTCTACGGAACCGTGGTTCCACTGTCAACTTTTTCTCCGGGGTAAAATCACGTGCTGGAATGGAAGAAAGAATATGGCTGCTTCGTGAGATGACGGTTAAAATATTAGACTGTTAAAACTGTCTAGGATTTAGAAGCCCCTCGGGTAATTTACTCTTGGATGTAGAACGAAGGCTTCTTCCTGAACTTTTCGGATATCTGTTGTACCTATATGGTCAATCAGCTACAGATTATCATGCTTAGTGTTCATAGTCTGAGATGCGTTAAATTGTTATAGCAGCTAAGATACCCTTCTTATGGCCGTAGGAACTTTGGTTAGATTGAACGCTGCCCAAGAAGACGTGATTTATCTGTTGGAGGATTTTCCTATTCAAGCTGAGTGGACGTCTGAAGGCAGTTAACGGTGGAATGCCGTAGTTGAACTGAGACACGTAATGGTTGTTAATAAACGCTGAGACTTCAATCAAAGATTGTAGCACAGACCATGAATAAAAGACGATTATTAACTCGAACAACATTTCTGCACATACACACGCGTATACAAGCGTGTTACCAGCGTCATTAAACAGGTTGTTATTGTAACCATGGTAACCCAGGCAATCTGAGAATTTCTTACGTAGGAAATTTTGCGCGGAATAAGGCATTCAAATCATTTTGTACAGTCCGCAGACCAGGAGAAAAGCCCTGCAATGAATGCGATATACACGCATGCGCAAGATTTCGCGGTGAGTGACGACCCATCCTAAAAGCATTCGCTCCACAACCACTGAACGAACAATAGACGACAGGCTTTAATGTGTTCTGATGTGTACAGCTTTAAGATTACCTCACAGCGGCACAGCGATTTAATCCAGAATATTATCAGAACACATTAGAGGTGAACTCACTACACGCTACTCTTAACGGCTTGATGTTTTCAGTCTATGTACAGTAGAGTAAAACTCTGACGTATCGCACTTCCCACCAATAGCAGCCCTCTAGTCCAGCTGATAGTAAATATTCCTCCTGCCAACTCCTGAAACGACTTCCCAACGCAGGGCTTTTCCACTGGTCTGCCGACAGTAGTTTTCACGTTGTTATTGTTAGATTTTAACCAGAAGTGGAATGTGTCAACAGATTCCGTTAAAGCTCGTCAGTATTGAATCAAATGAACACCGGTTCAGACGTTCTCGAGTTGGAACTGCGGACAGACAGACAGACAGACAGACGGGCTTACACGTGACGAAGAGAAAGGCTCACGATTTGCATTAATTGATTACGAAAACGTGTGAATATGGAATTTAAAATGCGGGGTTCACTTCCGATAAACATCAACAATTTCAGGGGCATACTGACCTTCTCTTTGAAAAACTTTGCATCAAGTAGTCCCAGTCTGACGCCCTTCAAAAGGCCCGCGATGTGACCTTTCCTGTTGTCCGGGTCGTGGTTGTCCACCGGAGAATGCACTCCCATACAACTCTCTCGTCCTTCACGTTCAGT